GGATTGACACCTGTCCTAGGGATCCCTGATACACACTGACACAGAGCAGAATAGGGACTGTTCCTCCTACATCGGGTCACTTGGCAGATATGGATTGACACCTGTCCTCAGAGATCATGATACACACTGACACAGAGCAGAATAGAGACTGTTCCCCTACATAGGGTCACTTGGCAGATATGGATTGACACTGTCCACAAGGACAAGCTGCAGACTTCCTGGCAGGGCCCATACAAGGTGGTAGAGCAGGTTTGTGATACCACCTTTGTGATCGGTGCGGTCACAGGCACGGGAGGCAAGCGCATGCTCCATGTGAACAACCTCAGACGCCTATCCTATGCCCCGGATAGACGAGCTCCTAGACAAAATGGCCAGAGGCCAGTACCTCACCACAATAGATCTGTGCAAGGGGTACTGGCAAATTCCATTAGCCGAGGACGCCATCCACAAGTCGGCATTTGTCACCTTGTTTGGCCTGTATCAGTTTAAGGTCATGCCATTCGGGATGAAGAATGCCCCGGCTAACTTTCAGAGGATGGTAGATCGGCTACTGGATGGGTTTCAGGAGTATGCCTGCGCCTACTTGGATGATATAGCCATTTTTAGCTGCTCCTGGCCCGAACACCTGACCCACATAGGAGCCGTACTAGACCGGATTAGGGAGTCCGGACTGACCCTAAAGCCCAGTAAGTGCCATATAGGAACGCGTAAAAACCTCCCCAAGATAGTAGTATGGGCCCCAGAGTGTGAACAGGCCTTCCAACAGCTCAAGACGGCGCTCATTAAATCACCTGTACTTTCTGCTCCTGATCCAACTAAACACTTTCTCGTCCATACAGATGCTTCTATGTTTGGATTGGGAGCAGTACTGAGCCAAGTCGGAGCAGATGGTGGCGAGCAACCTGGGGCTTATCTAAGCCGTAAACTTTTGCCCAGGGAATTAGATACACTGCCATTGAAAAGGAGTGCATGGCGGTGGTGTGGGCCCTCAAAAAGCTGCAACCTTACTTGTTTGGACAACCGTTTACCTTACTCACAGATCACAACAAATTTGGGGCACTGCGCGTGCAATCTAATGTGCCACCAGATAGGAGTGGTGTGTTTAGTACTATTTTTATCAGTTTAATCCCTGTTACGTCCCCTATCCGTTGATGTGGAGCAAGACGCAGCAGCAGAAGAGGACTCAGCTGAGGAGGTTATGGAAGAGGATGGAGTAGGAGGAGTAGAGGAGGTGGCAGCAGGCCTGCCTGCAAGTCGTGGCGGTGTCACCAACTCCTCTGCAGAGCCACGCATTCCATGCTTGGCAGCCATCAGCAGGTTTGCCCAATGCGCAGTGTAGGTGATATACCTGCCCTGACCATGCTTTGCAGACCAGGTATCAGTGGTCAGATGGACCCTTGCCCCAACACTGTGTGCCAGACATGCCATTATTTCCTTTTGCACAATCGAGTACAGGTTGGGGATTGCCTTTTGTGAAAATAAATTTCGTCCGGGTACCAGTAAGTGAGCGGTGGCACTGGGCACAGTATCCACTGTGAGCCTGACACACCTGCTGGCAGACAACTAAATGCTATTCAATCTATAATAGTGAAAAAAGTTTTTTGTTTTTAAATGCAAGCTATTATGACACCAGATATGAATGGTGGCACTGGGCACCATATCCACTGTGAGCTTAACACACCAGCTTTATGGACACTGACTGCTATTCAATCTATAACAGTGAAAAAAGTTTATTTTTTTTAAAATGCAAGCTATTGTGACACCAGATATAAGTGGTGGCACTGACTGGGGAAATGGGCACAGTATCCACTGTGAGCCTGACACAGAAGCTGGCAGCAGTGGCAGACAACTAACTGCAATTACATTACACAGAAGAAGAAAAAAAAAAGCATACCCTAACCCTATCTAATCAACAGCAGCTACACTTTCCCTCCTCTCACTAAGCATGCAGCTTGAGAATGAATCTAAAATGGATGCTGTCCAGTAGGTGGGAGGGTCTGCTAGGGAGGGTGTGCTGCTAATTGGCTGGAATGTGTCTGCTGACTGTGAGGTACAGGGTCAAAGTTTACTCAATGATGACGAATAGGGGGCGGATCGATCCGCGCATGCGTTCGGTACATCAATAATGATCAACAGTGTCAAAAGCCGCAGACAGGTCAAGGAGAATTAGGATAGAGTAGTGACCATGAGATTTTGCAGCGAGTAGATCATTGGATACTTTGGCCAGTGCTGTTTCCACAGAGTGCTTAGCGTGGAAACCAGACTGAAGCGGGTCTAGCAGAGAGTTGGACTCGAGGAAGTCTGTCAATCTCGCATACACAATTTTTTCAAGGATCTTGGATGCAAAAGGCAGTAGCGAGATAGGACGATAGTTGGATGGGGAGTTAGGGTCAAGATTGGGCTTCTTTAGAATTGGGGTTACAGTTGCATGTTTGAAGGGCAATGGAAATAAACCAGAGGGGAGAGAGAGAGAGATTGAGGATTTTAGTGAGAGGTGGAGAAAGAGAAGAAGACAGAGTACGGATCAGGCTTGCTCACTGAAGAAATGGGCTTGCAAAGTTGGGGAATCAGGCTGTTGAATAAAGAGATGTGAGGGTCAGAGAGCTTGCAATAGAGGTAAGGGAGGGGGAAATGTATCTAGGTATAGAGATGAAGAGATGGATATTCAAATAAAAACAAACATATCAATAAGAAAAGGGAGGGGTCAGAGGTCAGTCACAAAAAACAATTACATACAGGGCTAGCAAAACTACACTTTAGCATAAAATCAATTGAGGCATTGGTTTACTTAACCAAACTGCCGAATGCCCTTGGGAGAGAAATCCACGAACGGACTGGCACTGAAGCGATATCAGTACTTTCATGCAAATCTACACAAATGGTGAGCTACAATTTGCCGCCCGTTTGTGCAGAAAGGCACGAAACCGCGAGCGGCCGCTCTGTTTGCGCAATTATTAGGAAATAAGGAAGGGATCCCCTTCCACCCCCAATAAAAAGATGCCAAATACAATAATTTCTAGCATACAATCAAACTTAGCATAAGATCCTAACATGCATATCAAATACAGTTAAGAAATGAATACTCTGACCTGACTTGTGATGAAGCAGCAAAGAAAGAGGAAATGATTGGTTATGCTTGGATTTATATACACTCTGACTCACTCTGATTGGTTCATTCTTTTAACAGTTTTTTCTTTGCTGCTATGGTGTTAGTAAAGAAAGTTAATGCAAAATATGAAGCCTCCTGTCATGTTATAAAATTATGATCTAGTTATTAATGAAGGTTAATTCTTTTTCTCTTAGATTGTATAGTCTGAGCTCTCTATCCACACTACCTGCCCTCTGATCTCAGCGGATGAGTAGTTGGGATTCTGTCGTTCTTTTGATTTAAAGGGCATTTAGTTATCGACAGTTATACTCTAATTCACTGAAGTAAGTAAGAGTAAGAGTAAGTTACATGTTCTGTTTTGATGTTTCATATAACGTGGAAAACGTAAAAACTTAAACAGTTAATTATATATGTATATTTTGTCTTACATTTAAAGTGTTAATGTCTCCTTATATAGTGTCCTATAGAAGCCCGTAGTTTACTTGGATCAGTAGAGACAACAGCAAGATTCCACTGTGAACTTTAAATGAACTGAACAGTCGCTACACTAAGTTTTCATTGCTATAGTTCTGTGCTAGACAATAGGTAACCTTCAGCGTACGGTGTGTCTCTATCAAACAATTTTATGAATTAATTGAAACGTTCCTCTGTTATGTTCTTTCTCTGAAGGATGTGCATCCCTTTCAAGTGTTATTATACTTCTATCTGTGCCGAAGAGACTATATAAAAACTGGAATGTCATTTTGTGAGCCATTATCATACAATTTAAAACAAAGTGCACGTGTAATGTGAGTTGCTGTACCTTGTGATGTTTTGATATCTTTCAAGGACCATTAGCTATTATGGGGTCCAATCTTTAGATGGAAACTATAAACATTTGAACATGTCATACAGCTCAATAAAAATAAATGCCAGAATTCTTGTAAATTTTAAGAAACTTTTTTTTGTTTTTTATTGTGAAGTCTAGTGTTTCTTCTGCTTAATGTTTGTCCTTATTGATAGCGGATCTTATATTGTTGAAAACAATTTTTTCTCTGTGTTAAATTTTCTTACATATCACTTTTCTCCCCCCCCCCAAAAATAAGAGATAAAACAATTAGGATTATTCACTAACTTTGTAATATATCCTGGAGGAAATCATATTACAGAGGATATTCCTTACTCTGATAGGTAATATATCCTTGGGGAGGGGATTCATATTATAGGGGGCATTTCTTCCTCTGATAGGTAATATATTATAGGATGGATGTTTTGAGAGGGCTCTGGTAATGAATGAATATTGAGGTGAATGATTGAGGGGGTTCTGATATACACTATATTGTGGGGTGTATGTGGTGGCTGTGATATATAATGTAAATATGTGAGGGGGCTCTGATATACAACATGTATTGGGTTAATGATAGGGTTCAGATATATTATATAAATGTGTGAGGGGTATCTGATATACAATATATTCTAGGGTGAATGAAGAAACTATACAATATATATTTTGGGGTGCATGAGTAAGGGGCTCTAATATGCATTTTGGGGTGCTTGAAAATATTTGTTTTTTTTGTGTGATTTCTTATAATATTCTGAGATATATGCTAGATGTGCATTGTGTTAGTATATTCCGTTTATATGATACACTAAATGTTGCACACAGATTGCTACCCTGTCCAGCTCCCTCACTAAAGTCCAGTTAATGCAGAATGTGAGAAGCTGGGCCGGAGGAGGGATTTTAGTGAATAAAGGAAGTTTTTTTTTTTAGTATCACTCATCAGCAGTAAGGGAGTTGAAGTTAACTTGTTACCATATATGGAGTTTTGCACATATCACAGACAAGGATGCTGCTGCTGTCATTGTGACACTGAGTGACAGTAGGGTATAAGACACAGGGAATCACACAGCAATGACACTGAGTACTGACCTCAAGCAGGTGAGACCAACTTGGTAGGTAGATAATAGGGCTATAATCTGTCCTCTCATGCTGGCTACCTGGGCTCCATATAATGAATGGGGAATATATATTAATTGCCCCATAAGATAACTATCTTTTCTTATACAGGATACTAAAGATATGCTCAAAAACATGTTGAAAGACAGTGGAAATAATGTTGACCTCAGGCCCCGGGAGGTGTTAACAACCCTCAGTAGGAAGAATCCTAGTGACCTGGTCCTGGTAATTGGAAGTGAGGTGAGTGCGTCTGTAGCCCCTGGTGTCCCTGCTCTCAGCTCATGGCGCTGTTGCATTGAAGCTGTAATAGATGCTGCAGAGCAGTGTGAAGTATTGCACCCTGGCGATGTTGTGGAATTCAGAAAAAGGGTGCTGGGTGAGCAGGACTTACTGGCTGTCGTACATGATCTGATCAGGAAAATGTCTCAGAGAGCCGGTCACAGCAAACCCAGCGTTTTCCAAGACTGCCTAATGAAGGTATTCAATGACCTAGAAAGCCACATCCAGAACTCCACTGTTCTCGAGTCAATTGTTAGTTTAATGGACAAAGGGGCGAAGGTGCTGACCACAAACTATGATAACCTGTTGGAGCTATACGGGCAGAAGATGGGCAGACCCATGGAATCGATTGACCTGAATGATAAAGTAAAGGTTTTGCAATGGGTACAAAACCACATCAAGTATGGTGTTTTGCATATCCATGGATTGTACACGGATCCCTGTGGCGTGATTCTGGACCAATGTGGGTATAAAGATGCTGTACAGGACTGTGAACTAATGCTTGAGCTGCTGAAGTTGTATAGCAAAAAATCTTTTGTTTTTCTTGGATGTGGAGAGACTCTGCGGGATCAGATTTTCCAGGTGCTCTCCCTCTACACCGTGCAGAATACAGTCAGTGTGGAACATTACATGTTGGTGCGGAAGGAGAACGCAGATACTTTCTATAAGCTTCAGGCCGATTTGCTGCTCAAAGGCATCAAGCTTATGTCCTATGGTGATTCATTCACTGACTTTCCACTATATATAAAAGGGCTGTCTGCACTCATATGCAAAGAGAGGACTGATAATATCGCACATGTGGAAATTGAAAAGCTGCTTGAGCCTGTTCCTAATGTCCAACCAGCTGCCCAAAAGAGGAAGCTTGATGAAAACACAGAGACTGGAAAGCCAGCAAAGTTGAAGGCTTGAAATAAGAGAAGCCTAACACCTATTACTAAATCAATAAAGGGCTTCCCAATTCTCAATACCGGAGTCCAATTAAAGTGTCATTTCATGTCAAACTCAATGAATGTGGCTATGAGTTGTTTAGATCTTTCGAGGACTGGATGATGGGTAGTGGCAACGGTTTATGTTCTGTCTCTCTATGAGAATAACACATACAACTTTCAGAAACAGCTGTCCATACACTGACATTAAAGGTTACTGAGCAGAAAGAAAACAGAGCCATGTCTATCTTGGGTGGACAACACATTGATTTGTTTTCGTTTCTTATGGCTGTACAACAATGTGACATTTTTTTATAGAAGGGGACCCCAAAGAAATGCAGCTTTCAGTATCCATTTTAATGGATGGCAAGCAAATTTGAATAACTTTGTTGTTATATTTTGTGACAAAATGCCAGCAAACAAGGGTGAAATTGGATGCTGTGAACTCACTGGGCAATGGTAACTTTTCCTGGGTCCTTTACAGAGCACAAAAATGAAGAAAGTCTTAAATACAAACACTTTTGTGAATCATCAAAAAAGACACTGTTTTACAACAGTTAAAAAATGCTTGACGTGATGAATGCAAATTTCTTCTTCTTATTTAACATGTTCAATGTGATTATCTTGCACAATCGCAACATACTGTAACTAGAAAAGCTACAATTTCTGGGGAAATTGTGTGAAGTGTTCTTGCCTCCACCAGTAGTCTCCAACTGGAGTGGGCGGAGTAACTGTTATCATTTATATAGCACAACGTTGTTGCACAGTTACATTAACCCCTTAAGGACGGAGCCAAATGTACACGTTGTGAACAAAACAAAATGTAAACAAAACCTGGCATTTGCGCTACATGTCTGTCCAACCGTAATTCACCTCTTTCATAGTAAATGCCCCCACCCTTATAATATATCATTTTATTCAGGGGAAACAGGGCTTTCATTTAATATCAAATATTTAGCTATGAAACATAATTTAATATGAAAACAATGGGAGAAAATACGATTTTTATTTTTATTTTATTTTTTGTTCTACATGACATGTTAACGGTCAATGTCATAATACTGTTTGCTTTTACTGCAATAAAATACACATATTTGTATTTAGCAATGTCTCACGTGTAAGACAGTACCCCCTATGTACAGGTTTTATGGCGTTTTGGGAAGTTACAGGGTCAAATATAGCACGTTACATTTGAAATTGAAATTCGCCAGATTGGTTACGTTGCCTTTGGGACTTTATAGTAGCCAGGAATGAAATTTACACCCATAATGGCATACCATTTGCAATAGTAGACAACCCAAGTTATTGCAAATGGGGTATGTCCAGTCTTTTTTAGTAGCCATTTGGTCACAAACACTGGCCAAAGTTAGCGTTAGTATTTGTTTGTGTGTGAAAAATGCAAAAATGCCAATTTTGGCCAGTGTTTGTGACTAAGTGGCTACTAAAAAAGACTGGACATACCCCGTTTGCAATACCTTGGGTTGTCTACTATTGCAAATGGTATGCCATCATAGGGGTAATTTTCATTCTTGGGCTACCATAGGGTCTCAAAGGCAACGTAACCAATCTGGTGAATTTTAATGAGGAAAAAATGAAATGCAAGCCTTATATTTGACGCTGTAACTTTTGAAAACACCATAAAACCTGTACATGAGGGGTACTGTTGTACTTGGGAGACTTAGCTGAACACAAATATTAGTGTTTCAAAACAGTAAAAAGTGTCACAGCAATAATATAGATCCGTGTGGAGTGCTGTTTGTGCGTAGAAAAGTAAAAAGCGTAACTTTTACTGGCGATATCATTGTTGTAATACATTTTACTGTTTTGAAACACTAATAATAATTCAACTAAGAATCCTCCGTGTCAGAACAGTACCCTATCTTCAGGATGTCTTCAGTTATAGGGTTAAATATAGATGCCTAACAAAATTAAATTCCTTTACTTTGGCATGGGTGGGTTGTCAGGCAGGTCCAGCTAATTGTAATTAATTAAGATACCTAATTATGTAAAAGGAAATATTACATAAATATATATATATAATTAATATATATGTGTGTGTGTGTGTATATATATATATATATATATATATATATATATATATATATATATATACGTATGTGTATATGTATGTATATATTTATATAATTTAGTAAAATATTTTTATTTATATATAGGTGTATATATATATATAGTGATGTATACGTATATATTTATGTATATAGATATATATATTATTTCGTTCTACATGTATTTTGATATATATATATTTCACAATACAGTTAGAACGAAATAACACACATCTATATATTTTTTAAATTATTTATTTAAGTGTTCTTGCATTGCAAGACCACTTAATGTTATCTCACATATATATTCTTATTCTTATTATAGCCAAATTTGCCACCCTAACTCCTCCCACAGTTTTTACACTACATAGACAAATATTTACCAAAACGTGCAGATTGTTCCCGATCGGATTGCTATTACTTTGTGGAACGTTTCGCCGAATGGTTCACGGAATATCGTCGTTCTTGTGGCGAAATTTGTCCCATAGGAATGAATGGCAAAGCTAGAGTGGGAGCTGGCAAAAGCTGAAAAATCAGGACATGATTTCTAAACTGCCACCACTCCCTTATTTTCAGGCCCACCTACACAAATCTTATATCAAAACGTTCAGCTATCCCTGCTGCCACTAAACATGTCAACGGCTAAGCCATAGTCCTGATAGTTTTCACAATATAATCATTTGTTTGCAACTAACGCCGTCCATTGACATTCATTGAAACTTCACTCTGCAAAGCTCAAATTTGAAGTGCAATTTCTAAACTGCGACTGTGCCTTCATTTTTAATACTTCAGAGACATACTATGCATCAAAATGTAGGTCTGGGTCTTGTGATTCTCACAATATAAAGCTCTTCGCTGTAGGATTTATAGTTTTTAAAATACGACCGTTTGAAGATGGCAACCGCCAAAATACTCTGACCTGTGCCAGGCTGCAGCAGCAAGTGATGTCATAGACAGGGCCTTTTGAACACCTGCTAATGTTTTTATAAATGTATGGTTTAATGTAACTGTGCAACAACGTTGCAATTAAATGTGCTATATAAATGATAACAGTTACTCCGCCCACTCCAGTTGTAGACTACTGGTGGAGGCAAGAACACTTCACACAATTTCCACAGAAATTGTAGTTTTTCTAGTTTTAATTATTTTTTTTAATTTTATTTTTTAACGTATTTACATTTTTATTTTTTTATATTATTTATATATATATAACAATAATTATATATATATATATATATATATATATATTTAATCAGTATCAGTCTACGTGTAATTTGATATTAATATATATATATATTAATAGTAAAATACACCTAGACGGTGTACGTGTGTGTATGTATATGTGTATATTTATACTTAGATCATATATATATACCGGGTAAGTAGGAAAAGACCGGAGGGCGTACTATTACGCCCGGCGGCGTTTAGAGCCGCTTAGATTAGGGCGCAATAGTACGCCCTCCGGTCTTAAGGGGTTAAACCATACATTTATAAAAACATTAGCAGGCGTTCAAAAGGCCCTGTCTATGACATCACTTGCTTCTGAAGCCTGGCACAGGTCAGAGTATTTTGGCGGTTGCCATCTTCAAACTGTCGTATTTTAAAAACTATTAATCCTACAGCGAAGAGCTTTATATTGTGAGAATCACAAGACCCAGACCTACATTTTGATGCATAGTATCTTTTTGAGCTTTGTAGAGTGAAGTTTCAATGAATGTCAATGGACGGCGTTAGTTGCAAACAAATGATTATATTGTGAAAACTATCAGGACTATGGCTTAGCCGTTGACATGTTTAGTGGCAGCAGGGATAGCTGAACATTTTGATATAAGATTTGTGTAGGTGGGCCTGAAAATAAGGGAGTGGTGGCAGTTTAGAAATCATGTCCTGATTTTTCAGCTTTTGCCAGCTCCCACTCTAGCTTTGCCATTCATTCCTATGGGACAAATTTCGCCACAAGAACGACGATATTCCGTGAACCATTCGGCGAAACATTCCACAAAGTAATAGCAATCCGATCGGGAACAATCTGCACGTTTTGGTAAATTTTTGTCTATGTAGTGTAAAAACTGTGGGAGGAGTTAGGGTGGCAAATTTGGCTATAATAATAATAAGAATAAGAACTAGAAAAGCTACAATTTCTGGGGAAATTGTGTGAAGTGTTCTTGCCTCCACCAGTAGTCTACAACTAGAGTGGGCGGAGTAACTGTTATTATTTATATAGCACATTTAATTGCAACGATGTTGCACAGTTACATTAAACCATACATTTATAAAAACATTAGCAGGTGTATAAAAGGCCCTGTCTATGACATCACTTGCTGCTGCAGCCTGGCACAGGTCAGAGTATTTTGGCGGTTGCCATCTTCAAATAAATCCTACAGCGAAGAACTTTATATTGTGAGAATCACAAGACCCAGACCTACATTTTGATGCATAGTATGTCTCTGAAGTATTAAAAATGAAGGCCCAGTCGCAGTTTAGAAATTGCCCTTCAAGTTTGAGCTGGCTAGAGTGGAGTTTTAATGAATGTCAATGGACGGCGTGAGTTGCAAACAAATGGTCATATCGTGAAAACTATTAGGACTATGGCTTAGCCGTGGGCATTATTAGTGGCAGCAGGGATAGCTGAACGTTTTGATATATATTTTGTGTAGGTGGGCTTGAAAATGAGGGAGTGGTCCTGATTTTTCAGCTTTTGCCAGCTCCCACTCTAGTTTTGAACATTTTGCCATTCATTCCTATGGGACCAATTTCCCCACAAGAACAACGATATTCCGTGAACCATTCGGCGAAACGTTCCACAAAGTAATAGCAATCCGATTGAGAACAATCCGCACGTTTCGGTATATTACTGTCTATGTAGTGTAAAAACTGTGGGAGGAGTTAGGGTGGTAAATTTGGCTATAATAAGAAT